TTCTCTCCAGACTTCCAACAAGCTAGAACAGTGTTTCTCAACCTTGGCAACTTGAAGATGTGTGGACTTCAACTCCCATAATTCCCCAGCCAGGCTGAATTCTGGGAGTTGAAGTCCACACATCTTCAAGTTGCCAAGGTTGAGAAACACTGTTCTAGCTTGTTGGAAGTCTGGAGAGAAGCTGGGGTCAAAAACAGATTGCGAGGAGAGGTGATGATCCCAGAAGGATCTCAGAGAACAGAGACTGAAATATTGGGAGGTAAATGCCCAGTGTAGAAGCTGGATAGTGGCCAGCGGAGAAGGAGAACGCTAGTGCTTCCCAAAACACACCTCTGATCTCACAGCTCTGCTGGCCCCAGCTCTAAGTTAACGGATGATAAAGACTTTACAGTCCTTGAAGGTGTGGTGGGAGAGTGCCAGTTTAAGGAAAGAAAAGACAGCTTTCTGATCAATATTCCTACGGATGACTTTGAGCGGTTTCGGTGATGGGCTGGGGGCAAAACGAGAGGAAGGTGGTGCTGCGCTGCGGTTAAGGGCAAGTTAGGACAGGGCCCAAGGGGAGAGAAAGGTCAACTCTAATTTTAGATGAACTTTTTAAGGACACAGCAACATGCAAGATACAGCAGTTATGTTGATTCCCAATCACCTCCTCTCCCAATGAGTTCCACTTGATATGATACTCCCTTCTCTGCAGATCTTGCAAAGCCACGCCACTACTCACTACCCCGTTCAAACCTAGATAGGAAACCCCACTGAGTACCAAAGGCCTGATCTGTTGTTATTATATTCTGAGTCAGGAACACTTATTGGTGGGGATCCATCATTCAGTCCAAATAACCATTCTGCCTCTTACCTGTTCACCATTTTGCCAGAGAAGTTCATTTCTGCGCTAACGATTTATAAAGTCTTCTAAGTCATCCAACCAGCCTTGTGCCAAGATAACAGTGACGCAGGCAAGCTTTGTATCGTTTTAACAACAGATGGGCAATGCTGTGAAGTTGCTGTCAAAATCGAGGGGAAAAAAAAACTTTAGGAAAGGTACAAATGTTGGGTGGGGCTGCTGATCCTCATTTAGTGACTGCCTGGTAAAACGATAGTGATGAAAAAGTAACTTTGTGACCAATCCTCGCACTTACGACCTTTGCAGGTCTGTAAGCAAAGGAAAGCTGAAGGAAGATCATAAGCACACTTGCAGTTTCACTTAGCGACCCCTCTGCTTAATGACTGAGTTGCTGGTCCCACTTGTGGTCACTAAACAAGGACTATGTGTGTACGTGATGGGGCACGGCTGGAAGTGAGGAGACCGGCTTCTGCCTTGCAGGGCCTGGGACCCACCTCCTGAAGCCCTCAGAACCCCTCAATCAATTTACTGCACTCCGGTTTCCTTCCCATTTCTTTTCCTCCCGCTGGGAATTCTGGGAGCTGTAGTTCCCCGTATCCCTTTGGACAGCACCACAGCAGCACCAGGCTGTTGCAGGGCTGGTTGGAAAGCAGCCCCCCCGCCCTCTGCCAACCTCTCGCTGCAGCCCCGCGGCTGGGGGCACCAGGGTTGGCAAGTCGGGCCGCGCCCTCGTTGCTCCTCGCCGACGGCCT